CACACACTGACCCCTGTACCTCATACCTGCGCACACACTGACCCCTGTACCTCATACCTGCACACACACTGACCCCTGTACTTTATACTTGCACACACACTGACCCCTGTACCTTATACCTGCGCACACACTGACCCCTGTACCTCGTACCAGCACACACACTGACACACTGACAGAGCAGATTGCCAGCTGCTGTCTGGAGTCTCACCCTCTGCTCTCTGGGGATCACAGTTCACAGTTCACAGTCCTGGCCACTCACCTGGGTGGCTCTGTGATATTGAAAATGTTACTTTAAACTGCTTGCTGTCAGGTTACTGAGATACCAGCAGAGCTAGTTTTTTCATGCCATTGAACTGAATTAAATTAAATGTTTAATTTTTGTCAGGGGTAGAAGTAGAAAATGTTTAGCAAAAGCTAGAAATCAAACACCATTTGGGGCAGGACCTTTCAGCCTCCTCCAGTTGGGGAATCTTTTTAAAGAAATGTCTTATTTATCTATTCATTCTAGAATTTTGAAAGCAGAGATGCAAGCAAACAGATTCTCTGGGTCAGAAATGTGGATTTGGCACATTGCTTAACTTTGGTGAAAAATATATTTTGGTGTACAATATGAGTTGTACAATCCACAGCTCTGAAAAACACTTATTAATTTACTGTTCAGATTCACATGCTGATGAAAGTGCACTGAATCACATCCTGACATACAGGTCTGACAATCCTTTGTCTGTGGAAGATGAGAGTTATGTAAAATTAAATGATTTTTCTCTTCCTGGTTTTGGAGGTTGGCAGCTACCACAAACCAGACACTCAAAATCTATTCTGCTTCCTCCAAACTAAATATAATATAGGTCTTAACTCACTCATTTTTCTCACTTCATTGATTTGAGTTGGTGTTACCTAAAGTGTAGACAATGGTGATACCAGAGAACAATCTTTGATTCTCCTACACAAACTCCCAAGATTGTGTTTTTGTTTTTCAACAGCAATGCACTGTTCCCAGCCACAACCAGATTGTAAACTCTGTGTTGTGGCTTCACTACTGAAATGTATCATCCACAGTTTGCATTTTAGTGTGTGGTTGTTGCGCATTGCTACAGTATGTAAAGCTGGGAAATAATCTGAGAAAATGTCCACAAAAAGATTGTACCACCTAACAAGCAGGGAGGTTAACAGAATGTAAATGACTTTATTTAATAAACCAGTTGGCATCTCTTTTGAATCTAAAAACACTAAAAATAAAAATAGAATGAGAGTCAATGAGAAGGTCTACAAAATATAGTCATTCAAATATGTCTGTGTACCTGAAGATCTTTGACTCCATTGCGTTTTTTCTAGTACTCTTCAGGCTTGGCCTGACAGCAAAGTGTCCTGGAAACAAAGACATTCATTTACTTGGCAGAGCAGGAAAAAAACAATATTCCTTCTAACTCATAATACTATAACAGCAAATAAGTTAGGAGATATTTAACTGGTCTAAAATAAACTTCACAATCCATACATCAAGTGACAAGTCAAACACCTTTGGCCCATCACCAGCAAGCCTTGAGCAGTGCTTTAAAAGTTCTGTTTCCCAGTATTTGTTTCACAGCAAAGCTTGATCCTGTTTTAGAAAACAAAATCTCACATTAGCAGCATTTATCTGTGTGCGTGTGTGTTTGGTGAAAAGAGGTGTCGACTTTTCAGAAAGATGATAATGATAAAAGGATGGAAGTAACAGTGCTCTGGTGTTGTGTCACCCTTTAAATATTGGCACAGGATTTCCAGATTGTCACCCATCACCAGAAAGCTGCTTATTCATAGTAGGGGTTCCCGGCACCCAGAAACAAGGGAGGAGGAGCTCGACTCTGTATGGGACACCGGTGACACCAAACACACAGGGACAGTTCAGAGGCCCATTCACTTAGACTGCAGTTAACATAGTCTTTGGAAGGAAACAAGCACCCATCAAAGTCCCACACAGAAACAGGGAGAATATGGAAAACAGTGAGGCAGCAGTGCCAACCACTACACTGCCATGACAGCCCGTTTCTTAACTTAATAATCTCACTCGTCAGGAAGTAACAGTAACAGCCAAAGAGTAATAGATACTACCTCCCACAATGCATGTCCTAGCATTTTGTTACTTTAAAGCCCATTTAAAGAGTTGACAGGTTTAGATAGTAGTAGATCCCGTTTCTATTAATGTTTTTAGTCGCTGGTAATAAAAGAAGACCGTCATTAAAATCAAAGGGGTGAAGAATAACAACACATAAGAGGGAAACCTACCTTTTGTCCCTTCTTTTCCATCTTCTTTTAATGCCTTATTTGTATTTTCACAGCTGTGTTTTGAAAGCATTGCAAGTGAATTGTGAGTCCTCTTACACTCTAATTTAACTTGTATAAATACATTCAGCTTTTTAATACCGCATTGTAATTACGCTTAAGGAAATTATTTGCTTGCTATTGGTGGTCGTAGGAAAAAAAAGTAAATATAGTTTATTTTGCAACATAATCAGAGCATCCCCATGTTTGGAGTTTTGAAAACAAACAAGTGTCGGATGGGAGCTTGTTTTTTTTTCCTTCGGCAGAGGATAAAAGTTTTTTTTTTTCCCTTGCGTTGCTGCTTAATAAAGCCATTGATCCGAGAATGACAGCCGACACACCCAGCAGACACTTGTATACACTGCAAAGACAGGTGCGAGTGGGATGGCTGGCCTAGTTATGTGACCCCAAAGCCCTTTAATCAGCTCAGCCGGAGAGTTTGTCAATCCTGCCGAATGAAGAGCAGCGAGACGGGAGACAGGGAGCACAGGGAGGGGGAAGGGCAGTGGGCAGGGAGGAAGAGAAAGTTCTTTACGGCCTTTGTGTATCCAGGGATACAAACACAGAGGCTGCCCCTGCTGCCAGTCTGCTGAGGGGAGTGATTACACAGCCCAGGCAGAAGGAGAAAACGCTAGTGTCCTGATTCTACTGCCTCTCAGAGCTCCGCGGGCCCTCTCGGACCGTTTGCTCCACGAGTGTCAATTAATTAGCCGCTGAGTAGTCGAGAAACGGCCCTTTTTGTCTTTTTTACGGTGTCGATCAGGGGAGCAGTTTGTTGAAGAAAGGGATGAATTTGGAGTCTGTCTTGGCAGCGGGAATCGTACAAGTTGCTTGAAGTGTGCGAGCTCCCACAGGACGGCTGCCTGGCCTGCCTAGAGCACGGCCTCGGAATTTCAATCGCCTGTTTTTTTTATTTGTAGAGGCCTTTCGGTAGCACAGTGCAGTGGAGTGAGTGAGTGACAGAAATTTCAATATGCACTAATTGAGTTGTTGCATTTCCTCTCAGCAAGAGTCCTTCTCCCCTGCCTATAGTGCCCATGATCAATACTAATACTGGATCACAATCAGTCAGCTGTGTGTATTTACGTGTTTTATTGTTTTTCCTCAGCAGCACTCACTTCATCCATGAGCATCAGTTTCCCACAGATTCACAGGCTGTCCCAGAAGGACGTTTCGGCTTTAGTGCTGATCTACTTGCTGCTAGTATCTCTGGGATGCGCACTTAAGAGTTTAAATCCAGGACGCCTGTGAAGTGTGGGGGATAATTACCACTCAGTCTTGGTGGCCGTTAATGACAAGGCCAGTCTGCAAAGTGGCAGCACAGTGGGCCTGTTGTTGCAAAATTGCTTTGGCCTCTACAATTTTCTGCAGACACCAGAGCCATAACTGTCTAGGTCCCTCTCCCACCGATATTATCATTCGGACCCCCTGCGCTGAGAAAGCTGTGCAAACACTCGTCAGCGCAGGCAGATATGTATCTGCTTATCTGCAGAGTCTCTATAGCATACATCTATTCTCCCAGCTTGTCTTATATTTCCAATTTGTCCGTCTTCCTAACTCACAGTAACAAAGTGCCAAGCACACACAGTATATAATATTGATCCCTCTCAGTGCAATGCAAGTATTTTAATCTTTTCTGTCCCTATGCATTTTTATCCATAAAAAACACTGTTATTCGTCTTTATGACCTAAGTCCAATCCTGTTAAGATGCTTTTAGAATGCAGAGGAATTGCACATTTCAATAACTATCTTTCAGCACATTCTTTATCCTTTCTGTGGTACAGCCAGTCCAAGCTGGATAGCGTATTAGTCTTCTCAATGTGTATTATGTGACAGTTCTTTGGAAGCTGTTCTCTGTGAGCCTGTGAAGATGTAGGCAGGCGCTGTTGTGTCATGACTTCCCCCATTTCTCCCAGTGAGCACAATCAAACACATGTTGTTTTTTTGTATGTTTCTTGAGCTAACAACCTCCAAAGGAGATTCTCTTCAAGAGAATCTGATAGCTTGTAATGCTCTAATCTAGCCAGAGGAGAATTTGAAGTGTCAAAAGCTGTTAGTTGAGAAAAAAAGAAAGGATTGGTAGAAAAGTAACCCCACAGATGGTTACCACAGTGTACCGTACAGCGGTTATCACCCCTTGCATGTGGCTTGCAGTGTGTGACTTGTCTTCGTCATCTCTGGTGAATTTGAACTAGTGGCTGAGTATGTGAGGAAATCTGATCACAGGAATCATGTGCATGAAACTCATTCTCATTCAGTGCAATCACTATTTTTTTGCTACTGTTTTTAAAATAACCTCAATCCCCCTGTTTTGCAATGTTGCTGTTATTGCTGCTAGTCCTGACTTTCCACTTTAGCTGAAGTGGAGAAGGTGGGGGATTGTGCCCGGGATAAGTACGGCCATTAAATGGAGGCTGTCGTATCAATAACACTCTCGTTCTGTAAAGCACTGCGGCAGGTCGGCTTCTTTCTCAGGTGGGAACAGGGGTTGAGATTAAAGGACACCAGGCTTCTTCATTCCAGACCCTGTGTGAGTTTACACGAGAATGCAATGGGCAAGACTCAATAAACTACAGAATGACGGCGATGTTTTCCATCCCCATATAAAACATGCATACATAACGTGATGAGATGGCAGTCAATCTAGTGGTGTTTAAAACTGAATTTCACTAAGTGAAGGATACCTGGTGTACATATTCATTTGCCTGATTCTAAGAAAAGATTTGCAATCCAATGTTCTTTTCAAAAGTCTCTTCATCTGTTGTGCTGTTTGGTGGGAGGGTTGGGTGAACATGCCTACAGAGCGATGGGATGTTCTGGCTTGTGGTTTAATGATTGCTTTCAAGCCCCTCTCCCCTGTTCCCTTGTCGTCGCCCAAGCGCTGCACTCACTGGGACTGGAAAAGCCTCACAGTGGGACTGGGGCACCCTGGGATTTTGTTGTATGTCGGTGCGAGTCAACAATCTCTTCGTTAGGGGACCAGCTTATTTTTTAATTGTTCTCCCTTTTTCCCAGTTCATGAAATCTTTACTGATTTTCATTTGTGTACTCCTAATTCTTTAATCCCGGCTGTGTAGGTAGTGCAGAACACTCCAGCGAGTTGTGTTGCAGTCAAACTGCATTAGTGTGGATATCATTGTGTTGCTGTCGCTTCTGGGTTTTTCATGAAAAGGCCTATTTTTCTGACAAACATTTACTGCTTTGTGGATAATAAACCAGCAACAAAAGATGTACTTTCTAAAAGGCATAATTGAATTTCACTGTTCCGTGTATTTAAACAGCACAGCCTACTTTCTGAGTACAAGGCAAGAGCAATGTAAATATGTTGCTGCTTTAATCTCACGTTTTACTTGGTCATGTGTTGAACAAGTAACATCGTTGTACTAACATTGTACCTCATACAACAAAGTTTGCAGATCAATCTGCAAAGACAGAGGCAGCATCCTGTGCTACTGGTAATATCTAAAAAGGCTCTGGCAATATATTTTCAGATATGCCATTGAGCATTTCCCAGAGCCCTCCCATAATTTGAGATGATGTTCCTGAGACCAGTTTTGCACCATTTTTATGCCTGCTGTTTAAAGTACGTTTTAAAACGTCGTCTTGGTGACTTTAACCACAACTGAACAGCTAACACAGATCGTGCAGAAGGCCAACACTTCCAACATGGGCTCAGGAGAACAGTGACGTACATGAAGTGAACATGTGCTCCTGTACTAATGCAGAGGGAGGGACAGTCACTGTCAATGTTTTGAGGCTCCACGAATGTCGTGGATTACAAAAAGGTGTATTAGCTCAGGGGTAACCAGTCGTGACCCCCCAGAGCCAAGGGCAGGTCTTTGGCTTTTGGAAACTGCTCCTGAGAGGCAATTAGAATAAAGAATTGTCTCCGTCAGACTGTCAGTTCCAGGCACCTGGCGTGGAATCTTGGCAAGTTCTGTCCAAGGAACTCTGGAAAACCAAAATAAACACACAGGAATTTTCTTTTATTCTCTGGGAACTGCCCGAATCAGGTTTTATTCTTCTGAAGCAAAAGAATAGAAATTTGACTTTGTGTTTTGTGATAGATGCCACATCTTAAAATAAACTTGATTAGAGAATAATTAATGGAACTAATTGGTTTCAATGCAGCTTTAATAATAGAAAATGTATAATGACCCCTACAGAAATATTTAAATGTGTAAGAGATGTAATTGTACATAATATTAGACATGTTAGAGTCTAACACCTGTGATGAAACATGGACGTGATGAAACATGAAACATGTTTGCAGATAAGATGCAGACAGCAGGGATACTGTGAAAAATGAGCAAAATCTGATCTAATTTAGATTTTTAAAATTGGAAATTTCATTTTATTTAGATGGCATCTCTTTGAGCAATTATCACATTTTAATTCACATTTTATCTGTGTATGTCTTAAGTTGAACTAAAAAATAAGGTTTTGATACTGAAAAGTAGTTGTTAGACTCGCCCTGCAATGTGATAAGTTTGCATGCTGTCATTTCCAGACCAGATAAAATGTTTCCTGATTCCTGATCATCCCTGTGGTATTTAGTGGGTTTCATAGCATAGGCAGACAGTAGTGAATTCGAGTTTTTAAGTGTCACTGTCTCCCAGCACACTATAGCATGCTGCATAACTCTGTTAGCACTTAAAGTTTTACCAGCAATTTCTTAATCACTCAGAGTCGGGGGGTTTATTCTGCTGAAATTGCTGAAGTCTTGCGTCTGTCTTTCAACACAGATTCTTATTCCCAAAGGGTTTTTTGTTGCTTTTCTTCTCAAAATACCCTCAGCCAGCCCACCCACAGAGGTATGTAAAGAACTGTAATGTTGTAGTTGAATTCACAGGAAACACAAGTTCGAATACCCATGGAATAAAAACCTGTAGGAGGTGCTCATATATATTCATTTCAGTTCCACTTTCCTTCCAAATAAAGTTTTAATTTTAATTTAATTCACTTTAATTGTTATTTTTCTAGGTGTGTCCATGAATTTACACCTCAGTTAACTTTGCCACCTTAACTGTACAGTTCACAGTCGGTGGAAAGGAGTTAATAGCATTTCTTTACAGATTCAACCTCTGATTCCATTTCCGGTACTGAAATGTGGTCTTCTTTTCATTTTTAAAAAGCAGACACTAACATGTATTTGAAATACCAGCCACATCATGTTCAAATTTCTCCATGCGCAACTGAATTTTTGCTTATCCTGTAGCAACACATTTCTGCTGAAGCAGTGCATTGTTTTCCACTTATGAGGGATTGTCTTTGGCCCTCTCAGCGCTTGCTGTGTCTCTGCTCTCAGGCATTTTGCTTAGTCATCAGTGAACAGGAGATAATCGATGACAAGCAGAAAATCGCTTTTTGTAATAATGGTAATCATAATAGATATTCAGATATAGCCACGCTGTGTTCACTGAGGAGTTTTACGATTAAAGGAGCAATAAGTCCGGTGA